ACCAAGATATTTTTGATTAACTAGCAAATTTAAACATTCTAAGAAACTTAAATCGGGATTTTATATAGTGATTACATCATACAGAACATATCAAGTAACATATTATTGTATTTTAACGACTTAACAATAATTTATGTCATTTTGATACATACTTGTGAGTTTTAACTTCAGTAAAGAATCATTGCACGACAACAAAGTAAAGTTAATCTAAAATTAGATTTAATTCTCCACAAATCCAAAATATTTTTGAAGAAACTTAACATAATATGACATAATCATTATATATCACCTTTCTTAAAACTTTAAATAAGTATTTTGCTTCAGTTATCAATCCGTACACGGCATATTAATTGACAATTTTTTAAATTTTCTCAATATTTTTCGAAAGAGAGTCAACCGACAACTTCATTAAGAAAACATAAAAGCTCAAATAATTGCCTAAAAAAAACTCTCACTTATCAAATTGTAAATGCTCAACAAGAAATATATTAAATAATTTATATATCAAATTTATTTATGAAGATATAGCTTTATCACAGCCTTAAATAAGGGACCTACTTAAGTCAACGTTCCATATACACCATTTAAAATGAGAACTAATTAATTTTTTTTTCAACATATTTTTGGAAAAGTAAACATAAAACTCAATAAAATAACGTGTTAGGTCAGCTTGCTTCCTAAAGAAAGGTTTCTCTTCAGAATTTAAGTCAATGCATAACAATAAAGTAAAGTTAATCTTAAATTAGATTTAATCCTCTTTAAATTAAAAATAATGATGAAGGAACCTAATGTAATTTAACAGAATTACTATACATCAATTTTCTCAAAACCTTAAATAGGTGTTTGCTTTAGTTATCAATCCAAACACAGCATTTAAAATACCAATTTATTGAATTTTCTCAATATTTTTTCTAAAGATTCAAGCTAAAATTTCATTAAAAAAGAATAAAAGCACAGATAATGGCCTATAAATGCACAACAACAAAATAGATCAAATACTTTGATACTTTATATATTCAATATATTTATGAAGAAATCTAACAGACATATTAACTTTATCAAAGCTTTAAATAAGGCTTCTACTTCAGTGAAAAGTTCATACTCAACATGTAAAATGAGATCTTATTAAATTTTTTAACATATTTAAAAAAAAAACATAAGACTTCATAAAAATAAAAAATTAGGTCAACAAGATCGCTAAAGAAAGGTTTCTCAACAACAACAACAAAGTAAAGATAATATTAAACTAGATTTAATCTTCCCTAAATCCAAAATATTGTTGAAATAATAAAACTTAGAAGGTGGCTTAACTAAAACTCACTTAATTAAACTATAAATGCATAGAACAAAATAAATTAAATACTTTATATATCCAATCTATTTATAAAAATCTAACTTTTTAATAGCCTTAAATAAGGCTTCAAGTTTATTGAACAATCCATGCACAACATATGAAATGACAGTATATTAAATTTATTCAACATATTTATCAAAAACGACTACATAAAACTTGACAAATAAAACATATCAGCTTTCTTATTGCCTAAATAGAGCTTTCACTTTAGTATTTTCGTAAATTTCATATAGTAAAAAAAGAAATTGAGTTATCAACAACTTTTGATATCAAGTTCAACTCTTACAAACAATAATTGTAACATTTACACATTGAGTTCAACTCAGTTCAACTCTCAAAAACTAAAAACTCACAACCATTAAAAATTTCAGGAATGATCATTTCAATGCTAGACAACATAATGTGTACAAAAATGCAGCCAAGAAAATTTTCATTCTGAAATATAAATCTTGGAAGTCAGCTCAATTTATAAGTTTTACACCAACAACTGATTCCAAATTTTCTTGCACACAAACATTCCACGGTCAAACCTTTCAAATAAAGACGTAGGCATAAAAGCAAACACCACACTAGAGCATAACATCGAGTAAGGAAAATACGCCAACAAGCAATAATAGCAAATAAACCAGCCATGACGGATAAAGTGCATGCATCTTAGTCATTTCAGCATCAGGAAACTAAAAACCCAATTGCATCAGGAAAATAGTTTCAAAAATTCTAGGAAATATGAATCCATGATAAATTTTAGCTTATCCGGCATTTTAGGTAACATTCTAAATCAATCATTGAAACAATACAAGAAGATGCCAAAAACCATTAGTAGTATACTATAGTCATTCTCAACTTCATCCATAATGAAATTCCTTCTTAATCCATAAAGAAACAAGCAGACATAAGAGAGAGAAATCCTATAATAACAGAAGAAACAAATATTCTATTAACTGCTTTCAGTAAACTTCACTTGCTTCTCTTTATTAACTCATAAGAAATGCATAGTATCTTTGAGGAAATATCATCAAATAAAGTACAATCCAACTAACCGAACCGAAATTTTTCCATAAACTGAAGCATGGTTGGGTTTTATATTTCGAAAGGGAATTTGCATTTCATTTAGCTCATATCAAATTTCAGATGATAGGAAAAAAAATTAAGCTTATTATAAGAACTTGAGCCAGTATATAACCATTTATTTCATTAGGATCGAGCAAACGATTGTAATCTATAATTTCAAACAACATTTCAAACTATGAATCAATTTAAACTATAAGCAAATTTGGATTCAAAGGATATAACCCTCATGAACAAGTAACAAAATTTTACCTATGATATAAAACATTTCATATTCGAGCCACAGAAACGAATGCATATATAAACATGATTCTCACTTGAAAGGCTTGATGAAAAACCCTAAAGAGAAAAGGTAGTCAACATCATTTAACATATCTGCAGCCTGTAGACACCTTCTCTAACCTTCCCATGTCCCTCTACATCATATTTAAACATGGAAAACAGCTGCTAGAGCTCAAGCTTTCTAGCATTGACCAGCTCTTCAGTGTCGAACTTCTTCAGCCCAAATTAGAGCATGCTAAAATAAATTAATATTATTCCAATGAAGAGGAGAAATCCACAAAACAGTGCAAATGCATAGGGAATGTTCTTAGCTTTAGGGATTACATCCAAATTGATCCCAAAAATGCCAACTATTATGAAAAAAAGCAGCCCACAAACCCTTGAGATCCCGCCATTACAAGTAATTCTCAGACAAAATTCATAGAACTATAAAGAGCGAGTATTGAGATGTCCAAAATGGAAGTATAAAGAATGTAAAATTTATGAGTTAAATAATAATGAAGTGAGAGAATCGTGAAATACAATACAGAATAATATATATATATACATATATATATATATTGTAGAACTAATTTAAATAAATCAAGTAAAAGTCCTCATTATGCGCGTGCTACATGTGACCGACTCTATTGCCTGTGCTGCATCAGCTTATATCGTGGCCTTTGCCTTCTTGTAAATTGGCAACATTATCTATTTCATTGGAAATAAATTTAAATGAACCAGCAAGCAACAGAATCAATGAGGCATATTGTGAGTTCCTAGATAATTCTCATGATCGCATTTATAAAGTGAATTAAGAATGTTTTGCCTCAAAGTATAAGCACTAAATGAAAATATTTTGCACAACTCTGCTTAATAATTCTTCACTCCAAAAGTAATAATTCAACAAGCACACCCTCTACTCTATAAACAGACTCCATGTTTTGAGGCAGTCTTACCTCATATCATACCCCAAAGCAAGCCCCGAGTAAAAGAACATGTCAAAACATTAATGACAAAAAAGTAAGAAATGTATTTTTGTTGCCAAGTTTTTGATGTCCTGGTTTATTTGCTATAATTGCTTGTTGGCGTATTTCCCTTACTCGATGTTATGCTCTAGTGTGGTGTTTGTTTTCATGCCTACGTCTTTATTTGAATAATTAGAAATTAATGATAAAACTCTTGATCATAAGTCGATGGGTTTATTAGTGTTTTACCCTGTTTTCTTTTGAAATTATTAGAATATATGTTTTGCTTTTATTATGGCTATGGAAATGAAGTTGTCCCGTAAAGAGCATGTATATTGAAATACTTTTTTTGCTACAGTTATAAATTGAAAAAGATTTACGAGCAATCAATCATCTAGATACTTGTGAATAAAAATTGAAGTACTATATATCAGATTTTATTTTTTTTATTTAAGAGCAATGTATATGTAACTTTCTTCGGTTTTCTTTTATAAATTGTTGGGAATAGTTAAGTTCAAATATATGAATGGTGTTTTATTCGATAAAAGTTTCTTTAGGTGATTCATTTGTGTTATTTGAAAAACTTGTTTGCCTCTATTTTTTTTTACATTCTCTGAAAAGTAAGTTATTCTCTTCTTCTTTGACCTTCTCGAGGAACTTTCGGTATTGACCATTTGTGAGTGAGATTCAATTAAAGATATTATTATAACCATCTGAAATTCGCAAAAAGTATATCAGTATTAGTATATATATGTGTTTTGAATACAATTATTATATACCAATATAAATCAAATTCTTATGTTTATGTACATAATCTTTCAAGTTTTATGTTAACCTTATATGAGAAACAGTATTAGCAATATATCCTATAATTTTAAGAAGAATGTATGTTTATGTACTCCAAATTTTGGAAGTTAGATATATAAATTTGTAGATAATTGTGTGAGATATATAGAGATTTTTCATAAATATAAACGTGGTATGGCTTATATATTTTCATCGAGGTTGACATGCATAGTTTTTTTTTTATTTGCTTCACTAGCTGGGTGAGGAAATGTTCACAAATTCACTAAATCATCTTTGTATTTTTAAATACTTACACATAATATATTCGTATTCATATGGCTTATATCTTTTTTTCGTGATATCTTCAATTTTAGTTTGTATTTATGGTAATGACTTTCTATCTTTCCACGGATAATATTGGATCGAATAATAAACCCATAATTATTTAATCTATTTCGTGAGTATAGATATTTTAAAAACAGTAAGAAGGGTTGAGGAGAGGCTATATTTTAATTAGGGCTTAATTGAAAAAAATTGTTTAGAGTAAACATTTGGTCATTAATGTCTTTCCTAGATATCTACATTAATTAGCTATTTTTTTAATTTTTAATTTTTTTCTATTAGGTGTTTTATACCGCAAGTTCGATGAATTTGTTATTAATTCTCAACATATATTTATTTTGCTATTTCCCTTTACGGGGATTTGTAACTGCTATTATAAATTAGAACGAATTTTTTGACATATTATCAATTGCAAGACCTCAGACTAATTCCACCAAAACAATTCAGAATTTTGCACACTCAGCTTCAAATATAATTCTGTGATTTTCATCAAGTAAAAGTAACAACATGGAGTTTAGCGGGCTAGAGCTTCAAATATTTCATCCAGGCAGAGAGGGTGATGTATATGACTTTTGTACTGATGAACTTATATGCGCTTTTGAGTTTGTTCGAGGATCTAATCGTATGTCTAATAATCATTGGGTTCCTATTGGATGGGCAAGGATTTCAGAACTAGCGAAGATTGCCGAAGACTATGTTAAATGGTCTTCGCAACAAATTGATTTGATAGAAGATGAATATGATACTACCGTTTCTAGTGTTGTTACTCGACCTATATGGTGGTGTCACGTATTTGTGGGGCATTCCTCTATTTATGCATGGCTCAGTAATGCTCACTGTATACATCCAACTGTTAGTATTTGTTTGAGAAATGAAGGCAAACAATGTAGTGATTGTATGGATCACTTTGGTTTTGAGGTGAGTTCTAATGTTTGATCTCTTTTCATGTTAGTGCCACATTTTTTATTTTATTGACTTATTGTTTCCTGAAAATGCTGCTACATCTCATAATTATAGGGCTTTGTATGTTTAATGATTGTGAGTTTTTTGTATTTCAAAATGAATTGTGAATATTGTTAATTATAATATTTTAGTTGCGAAATAAATATTTTTCTAGTGATATTGTCATTTTATCAATTTGAGAGTTAGAGTAGTGCAAATATATTTTTTTTATGTTGAGAGATAACATTAGATTGTGTATAATTCACATATGAATTAACCTTGTTCAATTTGAATATTTTTTTAATAAAGTATTAGGTTTTATGGAGTGATTGTATGGAGCACTTTGATTTTGAGGTGAGTTCTAATGTTTGATCTCTTTTCATGTTAGTGTCACATTTTCAATTTTATTGACTTGTTGTTTCTTGAAAATGATGTTACATCTCATAATTGTAGGGCTTAGTATGCTTAATAAATGTGAGCTTTTTGGATTTTAAAATGAATTGTGAATATTGTTAATCATGATATTTTAATTGTGAAATAAATATTTTTCTAGTTATATTGTCATTTTATCAATTTGAGAGTTAGGGTAGTGCAAATATTTCATTTTTATGTTGAGAGATAATCTTAGATTGTATATAATTCACATAAGAATTAACATTTCACATATGAATTAATCTTGTTCAATTTGAATATTTTAACATTTTTAAATTATGTTTAATTGGTAACTTTATATAAATATATATATATATATATGGGATGTTTTCATTTCTCTTTTCACTGAAGATGAATAGTTTTTTAGATTCTTGTTAGAAAGACAGAAGGGTTATTATTTGAGTTGATGGGGTATTCAATTAGTGATTCATTTTCCAAAGAAAATGATACACCGATTGTGTTTCGTTTTGTCAAACTCAACAATTTTTATTTACCGCAATGCATCTTAAAGATTCCGCATCAAAAATAAATGTCTCAGGGATCAATGAAGTGCAGATGATTACATAGGAAATACAAGTCATTTATCATATTTGTGTGCGATTCATAATTTTATACAACTAATAATTCATATCTAGTCTAGATCATAAGTTTGATAGCATGACTTTTTGCAGAATCTACCTCGTACTGGTGGAACTGCTATCAAACTTATGATTTAGACTGGATATGAATTATTAGTTGTACAAAATTATGAATCGCACACAAATATGAAAAATTGCTGGTATTTCATTTGTAATCATCAACACTTCATTGATCCCTGGGACATTTATTTTTTACGCGGAACCTTTAAGATGCATCACAACCAATAAATATTGTTGAGTTTCACAAGAACGAAGCAGAATCGGTGTATCATTTTCTTTGGAAAATGAATCATTAACTAAATACCACAACAACTTAAATAACAACCCTCCTGTCATTCTAACAGGAACCTGAAAAACTATTCATCTTCAGTAAAAAGAGAAATGAAAACATCTTATATATATACATATATATATATATATATATATATAT